TTCTTGCAGAAATTGTAGGGGGCTGGCACGACATTTTGTGGGTAAAGTCAGAGTTAAACGTTTGGCTGAGTTAAACGTTTGGCTGTTTGCGTTCACACATGAAGCTCAGTTTTCAGAAGTGTTGTTCATATAGAGTGTGAAAGCTCTATATCAGTGAAACGTTTTAGCAGCAAGCTTTCGTCATTTAAAGTGTGTGTGTGTGTGTGTGTGTGTGTGTGTGTGTGTGTGTGTGTGTGTGTGTGTGTGTGTGTGTGTGTGTAACTGTTGTCCATGCAGCTGTGTGAGTCAGTGTTAATCATCAGTGTTATAAAAGTGACTCTAAAAGTTAAACCCCTTTGTGTGTGTGTGTGTGTGTGTGTCTGTGCTTTTAATGTGACAGGAAAAAAATATGAAAGCCTCCCATCAGAACGTTTAACGGATTCAGTCATCTGGTCATGAAACATCTGCTCAAACACTTTATCATCATCACTGCACTGACAATATTTAGACACATGAGCCGTCTCCATGGCAACAGAGTAATCATCATCCCAGCCCTGAAGTCATGGGAACAGTCCGGTCCAAGTCCAAGTCCTGGTTTGGCTCTAAAGAGAGCCAGAGTGGCTGAGTGTCTGATATTTGAGCTGTGTGTGTGTGTGTGTGTGTGTGTGTGTGTGTGTGTGTGTGTGTGTGTGTTGTATTTCTCTTCATCCTGCACCTGTACCGAGGTCATCAGACGACCTTGTTAGGACTGACACTAATAACGACAGTAAAGTAATGAGCAGTAAAAAGCTAAACAATGAGGTAAAGGACCCTGAAGTAGTTTAATGGTGTTGAGAGTTGAATGATGTTTGCGTAAAGCTGTTTCCTTCCTTTCCTTTCAATCTGCTGTTCTGAAAACAAAAACATCTCCCTCATTGTTCTTTAGAGACTTTCTCCAACAGTGTCCTTTAAAAATCTGTGTGAAGTCAGGGTGAACACAGCAGTAGTCTGGAAGTGGGTGGGACGCTGACTGGGGATGAGCACCGAGATCCAGTACAGAGTACCACTGTGGTACCTGTAACAGCACCTCCCTCACGTACCAGGCTGAATCACAATACAGATTTCGGTAGCTTAGTTTCCGTACCGCTCTCTAATCGTCAGAGTCAAAGATGCTGAACCTGCTTAAAGTTAGCTTAGCTCGTAGCTGCCATCCAAAACCTGGCACGCTCCAACTTCAGAAGTGTTAAAAAAGATGACAGTGGCACACCAGCAGTCCAATGAAACGGCCTCATCGAGCTGTAACCGTAGCTCGACAGAACTGTGCATCTAAACGTTCAGAGATTCTCCTGTGTGGGTGGTAGAGGGACACCTGAAGAAGACCTCTGGTCGAAACGTTTTGATTGTAATGACTTAAAACTTTTTGTTGCAGGAAATGTGCAGTTTCTCAGTCTGCTGATTTCGCACCGCCCTGCACCAACGTGATTTAACGACCTCCTTTCGTTCAGAGATAGTCTGTCAGATTTATTTTTGTGCCTTAATTGGAGACGCAGGACAGTGGATAGAATCGAAAATCAGGAAGAGAGATAGGGAAGACATGCAGGAAATGAGCCACAGGTCAGATTTGAACCCTGGCTGCACGCTTTGAGGACTTCAGCCTCTGTAGAAGGGGTGAGCAAACTAACCACTTGGCCACCGGCGAAAACTTTACATTTTAAGAAATGACTCCCATGTTAATTCACTATATTTGTTTGTGGTTTAAAACAGTTTCATTCTTAAGTTATATATTGAGATATTTGTTTTAATATACATAAAACCCAGCCCGACTCACACAAAGAGCTCAGTGTGGACATTGGAGGAGGTGGGGACCCCCCCCCCCGCCCCCCCCTCTCTCAGGGGGTGCAGGGCCGGGGTCAGTGTTAGTCATATAGGAGGTCACAGCTGCTAAAACACAGCAAACAAAATTAGACCTGTTTGTTTTTGAAGAAAGTCTATATGACCCACAGTCAAATAAACTTCATTCAATCCCACTCCCCCCCCTGTGACCCCCCCATACAGACCCCCCCCATAACCTTCAATCAGCCCCTGGCCTTGGTCAGCACATTTCTGCCCCACACTGCGTCAGTCTGAAGTCTGTCCTGTGTCAGATCTGCTCGGACTCCTGTCTTACATAAGCCTCCCCCCCTGTCCCCCGTCCTCTGGTCCCCCCCCCCCCCCCCCCCGGCCTCCCCCATCCCTTTAATCAGCTCATGCTTGGTTGGACTCTGCTCTGTGACAGGACGGTTCATGGATGGCTTATGCAACACTGAGCAGTTACAGAAATGATGTTGAATGACTTCATCGACTACATTGATCAGGCGGCCATTTTTCCTCTGATGACAGACTCAGAAGCTCAGATGTGGTCAAGTTTAAAGCGAAGGGGTGAAGAAAATGCCTCGTCATGCTATCCCAGCTAATATCCCCAAACCTCTGCAAACACTGGGACAGCTCCTGTGGACGCATCTTGCTTCTTCTCCAATGTTTTTTTGTTTTTCATTGGAAATCTCCACCAGGAGCATGATGGGAAATCATCTCCTCATGAGGCCAGTTGTTGTCAGTAAGTCTGAGTCTGAGACTTCACTTTTCTTGATTGACCACGCAGTGATTTAGCTTGTTGACCAGACGAGTAGCCGCTCACTGTTTATTGATTTGGCCCTTTCTCTCAGGATATATTTGTCGGCTTCCTCACTCTTTGAAGAGAGTGAGGAATGACATGCAGGAAAGGAACCACAGGTGAGGTTTGAAACAGGGCCGTCCACCACTAGGCCATCATCGGTCTAGATTACTCTCAACTCATCTACTGGCTAACTAGTTGAGTCGGTCGACTCTCAATTGAAGGTCAAGGGTTCGATCCCCAGCTCCTGTAGCCACATGTCCGATGTGTCCTTGTGCAAGACACTTAACACCAAGTTGCTCCCGCTGCTTCTTTGGCGGCATGTGAATGTGTATGAATGGATTAGTTACTTCTGATGGACTCTTTACACAGCAGCCTCTACCATCAGTGTGTGAATGTGTAGGTGTGACCTGCGGGGTAAAAGAGCTTCAAGTAGTCAGAAGACAAAAAAAAACAATACAAGCTCAAGTCCATTTACCATTAACCACGATGAAATAGGTTAAAAAGCGGTTGAGCTATAGTAGAGCCAGTATGTAACGGTGTGTCTGACTGGTTGACGAGCTGTGACCTCCTCACATCGAGGCTCCGGACTCATTTAGTCTCATTAAGACCAAGACTCCAAGACAGCTCCCCGTGGGGTGAGTGAGTGTGTGTGTGTGTGTCCTGTCTCTCATCGAAGCACAGATGTCCGGCAGATTACATCACACTGACCGCACCCTGATCTCTCTCTCTCTCCCCCCCACCCCCCCTTTACTCTCACATTCTCCCACACAGACACCGAGTTCAGATAAATGACTTCATCTCCCATCACACCTCACCTCATCTTCATCAGGCTCAGGGACTACGTGTCCCATGATGCAGTGGAATGTGTGCAGGGTGGAGGTGGAAGTGCTCCGTCTTTATTTGAGCGGGCAGCTTTTGTTCACAAAAACACATTCCTGTTTCTCGGAGGGAGGAGGTTGATCGAGGAGGGATATTAGTAATCATTAAGAGGAAACACGGAGGTCATCTAACTTTGACTAAAGAATGGTTTCAGGCCGGCAGAGCTGAAGAAACATGATGCATCATTTCAACAAGTGAGTAGAGGGTCCTTCCAACTTTAACCTTTTCTACCCAGGATTGTTAATCTCTCTCTTCAATGGGCCGTTTTTCCTCTATTTGATATGACAGCTAAAGAGAGACAGGAAGTGTTGGTGGGGAGAGAGTGGGGGATGACATGCAGGAAAGGGTCGAGGTTGGAATCAAACCCACAGCTGCTGCAATGAGGACTACAACCTCCGTACATGGGGCACGTGACTTAACCACTAGGGCTAGGTGATCAAAAGCCTTTTGGAAGTTGTTTTCACACATTCACTGTCCTAGAAAATTTCCGGACAGGATGCCCTGGAAATCTGACTCACAAAATAATTGCTACCTTAACTTGCTTGTTCACAGAATAATCTCTCAGCCGGAGACTTTTCCTGTCAGACATGGAGGAGGGGGGGGGGGGACATTCTCAGAAAGCAGGACATGACGTTAAAGGTGATGTTTTGTGTAAATTCACATGCAGTATGAAGATACGAGCTAACTAAAGATCGCTATCATTAGCATGCTAACACAACAATGCAGCAACAACAAGTTTTTTTGGTTTCATGCTGGTGCTCAAGGACGACATCTGCTGGATCAAAAAATCGCATAGTAAGCCTTTAAGGAGCGGAGAAGAACATACCGGCGATACAGAAAACGTAATGAAGCTGTTTCAAAACATACATGTAGATCATCCCCGGGGCCGGTCGTAGGATATAAACATCTCCACCCTCCTCCCGCTCCGTCACAATGAATGTTCCTGATTATTACCTGCTGTGTTTGTACATCAGCTCACCCTGACTTAATGCAGATATTTAACCAGGGCTGCTGGCAGGAAAGAGTACGAGTAAAGTCGAAAACTAAACTCCTGAAAAAGTCCTGAAATATTCAGGGTTGGTGCCACTCTTTTCTCTGACTTTACCCGCGATTTTTCCCGCCTCCGGTGAAGTTTCCATGTTATGTCTGTGTGAGCTGATGTGAGAACGCAGCAGGATCAGAGACTGAACGGAGCGCCATCGGTGCGATCTCCATGCATGTATTGTAACTGCAGGATTATGTTCTTCTACGTCTTCTGTTGATGTTGTGAATAGGTTGAATACATGCAGCATTGATATTAAGTAAAAAATCTGATGCTCCATGTGCCACTTCTGCGTCATTTTTAAACATCATGTCCATCCTCCTGAGAACAAGCAACTCAGGGAGATTTCAGGGGCAGCCTGCCTGTAATATTCTAGTCATGTTCAGGAGTGCATTCATGAAAATGGCTACAGAATCCAGCCACAAACTTATCATCCTCACTCTGAGCTACATCATCCTCTCTCCTTCATCAGAGTCTCCTGGGAGTCCTGAGGAGGGAAGAGGAGGAGGTCTTGTAGGAGCAGGTCTTGGAGGAGGAGGTCTTGTAGGAGCAGGTCTTGTAGGAGCAGGTCTTGGAGGAGGAGGTCTTGTAGGAGCAGGTCTTGTAGGAGCAGGTCTTGTAGGAGCAGGTCTTGTAGGAGCAGGTCTTGGAGGAACAGGTCTTGGAGGAGGAGGTCTTGTAGGAGCAGGTCTTGGAGGAGGAGGTCTTGTAGGAGCAGGTCTTGTAGGAGCAGGTCTTGGAGGAGCAGGTCTTGGAGGAGCAGGTCTTGTAGGAGCAGGTCTTGGAGGAGCAGGTCTTGGAGGAGCAGGTCTTGTAGGAGCAGGTCTTGGAGGAGGAGGTCTTGTAGGAGCAGGTCTTGGAGGAGCAGGTCTTGTAGGAGCAGGTCTTGGAGGAGCAGGTCTTGGAGGAACAGGTCTTGTAGGAGCAGGTCTTGGAGGAGCAGGTCTTGGGGGAGTTGGAGGAGGAGGCCCACAGCTCTGCAGAAGATCCCAGAGGAAGGCTGCAGGGTTTCATCTTGCTGTGTTTGTTGTCGTGTCGCGAGGTGATGTCATGATTCAAAGTGTCAGAGCGCTGAAATGAGCTCGGAGGGGAAAAGTTCAGATTTCCCTGCAGGGCTGAACATCTTACATTTAAACTAAGATCATTCCCTGATGTTTGTCAGGTTTCAGTTTCCATCCATCTATGTTTCCCACTGAATGAATACACAATCATTACCGTGAAAACAAACACAGACCTTTCAGGACCAGAATCTAAAGGAGGACAGAGAAGCCAGCACTTTAACATAGACCTTGGTATAGATGGCTGCCATCTTGTTTCTGCACTGATTCATTTATTGTACTTTTGCTTTTTCTAATCTGCACTAAAAAGTGTGTATCTATAAGTTCAACAGGTCAGAGATGTCAGGTTTAACAGACCTGAAAATTAAAATGTCCTCATATGAAGAAACATGTTTTTTTGTTTTGCTGCAGTGGAAAAGGACAAAAAAAAAACCTCTGGGGTCTTTCTTCTTTCCAACTCGTCAAACATTTGACGCAAAATATGGTGATGATTTCAGTCAGTGCACTACCACAGTGTTTCTTTTATTTCATTTCCTTTCCATTTTCCCCCAAAAAATCCACCAGAAATAAGACAAAGCTCCCAGAGAAAGACGCAACACAGGGACCAATGAAAGTAAGAGGGATGATGCAACAAGATCAGAACTCCCCTGAAGGTCTTCCTGTTTTGACATTTGATGTAAAATCTGTTTCTCTGTGTTGGCAAATGCATGAGTAATGGTTGTTCTAGTAGCATAAAGAGGAGACTTTTTCCCATGACATGTAACAACAGCTCTGTCCCTGTGTACAGTTGGTGACGGATGGCGTCCTTTTGAAATGTCTGAAATGTCCTCTGAGCGATGTGGAGCTGGTCTTCATGTCGTCCTCTGTCCTCCTCTCTGACCTCAGGACCAGGACTCTCTGCTCCCCAATGGCCCCAGTATTCTGTCCCTCTTCCTCCCTCCCCGTCCTCACATTCTAACACAATACGGTCACGTCCGGCTGATGAATCGGCCGCTCTGTTCGGTGCGGATGGACGGGAACCACAGAGCGTGAATAGAGCAGAGAGGAGAAGAAGAGTGGTTTATGTGCAGCAGAGGGGCAGCGATGAAATGGACGGCTGTAATGGACTCGTGCAGATGGAGACAGAGGAGGTCAGGCAGAGTTAGACAGAACGATGAAGACAATAACTGCCCCGCTCCCTGCAGGGCCTTCTGGGAGGAGGTCAGAGATCTCCATGCTCGGGTGAGATTCATATCCGAAGCCCTGTTGGCCCTTAAACTCTGAGCGCTGGTACCAGCATTTACTGCTCCAGATGTCCTCTCTCATAACCCCTGCATTCCTTCTCTCTCTGTTTCATTTCTCTCAATCTCTGTAGTTATGTTTCTATTATGAGGGATTCCTATGAAACTTAAAGGAATGATTCTTTCCTTCAATAACTGCAGATTCGAGAAGCTTAAGATTTGCAGAACAGTAAAAAACAACGGGACTCATCAGATGTGTTGAACAAACATGTACATGCATAGCGAGGTACAGAAACTTTCTAAGATAAGACCTCACAGTATCATTTAAATGAATAACATTTGGTGGGTTTATTTATCAGGCAGAGACCTGCAAAGACGTCTCTGGGTCTGCCACATTGGGTTTTGATTTCATTTTTGTGTTTTTTTGCGAGGGTTTGTGCGTTTCCTTGTCTGAGTTCCTGTTCGAGGTCTTTCTATTCTGTTCAGTTTTGATGCATGCTTGCAGTGAGCTCCGTCGAAAAATAGACACGCAGGGTATTTGAAACGGAGCAGATCGTGATATGCTGGCACGCACCGGAGACGGACCACGGCACTCGCTGTGGAAACATGGAGCATTAGCTAAAGTGACAGGCCGCGGCGCGTTGGACTATGTGGAAATTGGTGGTGACACATTCAAAGGTGCAAGACTTTTTCCTTCTTTTTCTGGCCCCCAAATCTCAGGAAACTCGGCCTCCCCATCCCTAACCCAAATGTGTTTTAAATGTGACTGGTGCATGAGAATCCCAAACTCTCTCATGTCTAAATCTTTCTTTAACATCTTGAAAGTTTTTTAGTGAAGGCTACACATAACATGTTAAATGTGTGCACATGCTGCCTGTGTCTCTGTGTGAGAATGGTTCTCTGTTAACCCCTGCAGCTGCAGCAGGTTTATATCGCTGCAGAAACCGGAGCTTGTCGGATGGAGGGCCCATGTCTACGCCCCGTCAGTCAGGCGGAACAGGGAAATACACGAGGGCCTGAGCCTCTATAACTAACACACACACGGGGGGGAGGGGGGCTGAATTACAGTCGTGGTCTTCGGAGAGGGTCTGTGTTGGGTTAAGTGGCGGTCTGCAGTCTGCTCGGGGAGCGGTCGTAAAACGTGAGGATGGTAACCTGAAGGTTTTAAATCTCAACTTCAGGATGGACTTAAATCAGGAGATTGCAGAAGATGAAATGAAAGTTTAATCACCTCAGAGGGTCAGACGGGATCTGTGCTGTAAAATTTATAAGCACAGAGAGAAAATATTATAAATGGAGAGCGGGGAGGGGGGGGGTTTAACATGAAACCAACATCAGTTACAGCCTGAGAACGCAGCTGCAGTGTTAAATATGTTCCTCTGCTCCGAATAAAATGAGATCTGAACAGTTTACTTTGATACAAAAACATTCAATAAAATCTGTACATGAGAGTAAATCTGTCAGAAGTGATCTTCTTCCTCTTGTAGTGGAACATACCAAACATACATTTAGTTTAAAACACTTCATGTACAGGTAAGTTAGCAGGTTAGCATTTTATACTTCAACATCTGCACAATCATAGCATCATAGCACACAACATACCGACTCACGATCGTATATTCCATCACTTTATCAACATGACGTCAAAACAGGCCCCAAATCATCCTCAGACAGACAAAGCTACATGTTGGGCAGGGCGCGCCGTCCAGAGCAGTAAAACCATGGCACTGACTGAACGCAGCGCACACAAAGTATGTGGAAATTGACAGTAAGTTCCTTGATGACCATAAAGAAACAGAGGTCATTTTTTTTTCACATTCATATTCTACATCCAAATACACATTTCCCCTTTTAAACCAAAGATCTTGACTTCTTTTCTGTGTTTTTTTCTTTTTGCTGTTTTCTACCAAAGCATTGCTCAACTGCCGTAAAGCATTTAGTGACATCTACTCCAAATTCTTGAACTGCAGAGACCTTCTTTTAAAAAACTTCAACCTCCCTAAGTTACTGAGATACCAATTTGGTCTGGATGACTATTATCAATTATTGGCAATGATGAGAGGTCCCTGGTCCATTGAAGAGTGATAATAAAACACTGTATATCTGAAGTAGTGTCCTATGACCCTGACCCAGTGTGTGTGTGTGTGTGTGTGTGTGTGTGTGTGTGTGTGTGTGTGTGTGTGTGTGTGTGTGTGTGTGTGTGTGTGTGTATGTGTGTGTGTGTGTGTGGGGGGGTGTCAGACTGGAGCTGAACTCTGGAGCAGCGCTCTGACCCAGACGAGGACCTCGGACTTTTTGTGATAGAGGATCAGAGTGTGTGTAAGTGAGACAGACTGACAGCTGCTGTCTGTGTGTCTCCTCGCTCTCCGTCACCAGCTACGCTTACTCACCATGAACACACTACACACACACACACACACACACACACACACACACGCACACACACACACACACACACACACACACACACACACACACACACACACACACGTGCACACACACGCACACACGTGCACACACGCGCACACACACACACGCGCACACACACACACGCACACACACACACACACACACACACACACACACACAGGAACACTCACACACATGGCACATACCGAGCATGCACCAGCACCCCACGAACAAAAATCCTGCACATGCATCGCGCTGCACTCAGGATAAAAATACAGACACGGATCACAGACGGCTCAGGCATGTGTGAGTGAAGAGTAAAAATATCATACACAGAGGGATTATATGTAATATAAGATGAAAAATAACTGAATTAAAATGTGCTATCACATGAACTAGAACAGCTACATTCTGCATCATGAGTTCATACTGATTGATATTAAAGTGGTTCTTCCCGCTCTTCCTGTGTCACGTCTGATCTATATTTAAGTTTGTTGTGGGGTGAAGAGGTCAGCTGGTACATGTGTTGTACAGGTGTTCAGAGGGATAAATATTCAGACCAATGTGGGCGGAGTCAACAGAGTCGTGTCTGCGGTCTGAGTGCTCTGAGCTCAGGGTCTGGTTCACTGAGACTACGTCCAGGTTTTAGACGGTCTATGTTACAGACCCGTTTGTACCTCTGCATCACACATTTCTGCTCAGTGCTGCTGAATTCTCTTTACAACCGAATAAATGCTTATTTAACTGACTAAACTAACTTTAACTTAAAAATGCTGTTATTATTATTCTTATGTCACTGTTTTTGGAGAGGAAAATAAGAACCACGCCCACTATAGAGAGAGCGTGTTCAACATTGGTGTAGCTTGTGATGAGCCATCTTTGTCATAAGCTGTTTCCACATCCGCACTCCTGAACATTTCTAGATAATAGCAGGATGACTGCTCCTGAAATTCTCCTGGTTGTTCACACATGTACCTCACAGGGGGATGACTATTCCTGTCGGACAGGAGCGGTGGCGGGGGTCTCCTGAGGTGAGACATGACATTAGAAAAAAAAGCAAAAACGACTGGAAGTAGTAGACGAAGCAACAGAGTCCTCTATAGCAGTGGTTCTCAAACTATGGTACCACCGGTGGTATGTGGGCTCCCTGCGGTGGTACGCAAAGAAATCTCCACAATATAAAAAACAAACCTGTTCAGCATAAAACAACATTTTTTATTTTTTTCTCATACTCTTATCTTATCTAGCTTGTATCTATTGGGTTGTATTAATATCAAATGTGTTTTCCCCTCTAAATTAATCTAGGTTTTGCAACCAACAACTTTAA